AACCCAAGGTCATGGCACAAGCCAGTTACTTGCGGTCCTACTTCCCAGGCCTTCTCTCAGCAAGGATGTACAGAAGCCTGCCTATGACCATCACCCCACCCCCCTTGGCGGGAATTTCCCGGGCCCTGACCCGTCCCAGGTTGGCTGCTTTACCTCAAAAGTGACTGGGCAGGAGGGAAGTTCTTGCTGGCTGGGTCTCCTGCCAAGCCCCGCCCCGCCCAGTGCTCCTGAGCTCAGACCTGTCCTGGCATGTCCCCGCCACATGTGGGCTTGGGGAAGTGCTGTTTTGGCACCTGGCAAGCAGAAGGCCTAATCCTTGAACGTGTTAGGGGATGAGCGTGTGTGACTCATTGTGCTTGGGAGGGGGGAAGGCTAGAGGGAGCCAGGGGAGGGCCAGAACCCAGCCCAGGAGAGATTTTCAGCCCTGCAGGCAGGCTGGCCCCAGGCCAGGTAAGGGCTCAGGTGAGTCACACTGCCAATAGTCGCCTGAGGCTGGGCACATATGTCCTCCAGGCAGGGTGGGACAGCTGAAAGCGTCATGGCTCTTGGCTCTCGCTGTGCCCTGGACTGACATGCTGTCTCACACTTGTGGCTGCTGAGCTGGGCTTACTCCTTATCTCCCAGGCTTCCAAGAGCCATGTGGCCGAAAGGACAAGGGGACACTCCTCCTGCCATCTAGGCCCTGGGGGAAGGGAGAAGCTGCCGAGTGGCAGGTGATGGGTTAATGAGCAGCATACGTGCTAATGGGGCAGGGTCTTAAGGTCTCTATCCGGAGAAGGGGACTGTTCCCTCCATTCTAGGGGAGCCCAGGGGAATGAGATGCCCTTGAACTCCTCAAGCCTGCGGTGGGGAAAGGGCTCCTGATGGTTTTGGTGGGGCACAGGAGGGGACAAGGATGTGGATAGGACTGCAGGGAAGGGGGCTAAGGGGAGAGAGGAGAGAGGGGGAGGGGCAAGGATGGAAAGCCCACTATTTGCAGCTGGTTTGGCAATGGAGCTAAGGCGCCAAGGTTGGAGGTGGCCCAGGTGGGGCAAGGGTGGGGACCACTGTGGCTGGAGACTGTGCAGGGCAGGCACCTCACCCACCCAGGACCTTCTGAGACCCTGACATCTATCTCTGCAGTGCTAGGAAGGGAGAGGTAGCTGGGCCTGGCTGGGTGGTGGAGGATGGGGGCTTATTGAGTGACGGGGCTACGGCTACCCTCCAGCCCGTCTCCAGCCTGGACCCCTCCCAATGCTGCTCAGTTCACAGGGTAACTTACTGTGTCCTCACTGAGAGGGGTGGCCCACCCTCTTCCTCACTCGGTGCTGAAGCCTGAAGGCTCTGGAGCCAGAACACGGGTTCTAATTCTGGCCGCGAGATGAGCTTGGGTAAGTCTCTTGCCCTCTCTGAGCCTCAATTACCTCAGCTGGAAAGCAAAATACCTACATCTTAGGGGTGCTGTGAGGATTAAATGAGAGGGAGGATGTGAAGGGCCTGGTGCCAAGGATGTCAGGTTCTCCAGCACATAGTAGGTGCTCCCCCATGTCAGTTTCTTGGGAATGGGTTTGGGCAAGAGGTGGGGCAGGCAGCTTCCCCATGCCCTCCCCCTCATGTGTCCCCAGGCTTGGAGTCAGCTGGACCCCAGCCGCTGGGCTTAATTCCAGTCTGGGCCTTGAGAGCACAGGATCTAAGGACAGAACCACCCCTCCTCTCAGTGAGGAAGGGGCTTTTAGTCTCCTTGACCCCAATCCAGGCTCCCAGCCCTTCTGGCTTTGAAGGTCTCTGTGGCCCCCAGAGGGCCTAGAGATCCCCGGGAGTTGGGGAGGCCGGAGGGGGATGTTCCTGATCTTACGGGGCACAGCCTGGCTTTCTGGGGAGATGCAGGAATAGCACATTCCTCCTGAAATAATTGTCCCGGAGCTATTTCCAGAGGATCTTAGTGCCCAGGCCAGAAATGGCCAGTGATCTAGATGCCTGGATACCTTCAGGACAAACGGCACAGAGGCCCAGCCCTCTCGCTGGCCGTCTGCCTTCCTGCCCTGTCCCCGGCCCAGAGCAGAACCAGACCTGGCTGAGGCCCCAGAAGAGAACTGTTAACACTGCTTCCTTGGTCCACTGAGCCCCCACACTCTTCCTCCAGCTCGGGGGGCCCCTTGATCCCTCCTCTTGGCTCCTTGTTTCAGTGACTATCGCTACCCCACCCCAGGGCAAAAGGCCCTTGGCTTTTAGTGACTGTGGGCTGGGGAGGCCCACGCAGAGCTTTCTGTTAAAGTGCTTTGTAACCCTGGATCTGATCACTAGGAAACATCAGATAAATCCAAACTGAAGAACATTCTCCAAAACAACTTGCCTGCACTCTTCAAAAATGTTAATATCATAAAAGACAGAGAAAGACTGAGAAACTTCCAGGTTAAAGGATACAAAAAGACCTGAAAACTGAAGACAATGCCTGATCCTGGATTGGATGGTAGATTGGAGAAAAAGTTGCCACAAAGAACATCAGAAGGACAATCAGCAAAACTTGAATTTGGCCTGTATACTAGATAATAGTGCTGTATCAACCTTACATAGCCTGTATTTGGTAATTGTAGTGTGGATATGTAAGAAAATGTCCTTGTTCTTCCAGTACGTAGGAGATACAGGCTGAAGTATTGAGGGGTAAAAGATGCTGTCGTCTGCAACTTACTCTCAAAATAATGTGTGTGTGTGTGTGTGTGTGCAGTGATAAATGTGGTAAAATGTTAGTAATTAGTGGATTTGGATGAAGAGTATATGGGGACTTCACTATCTTGTAAGTTTCAGTAAGTTTGAAAAATTTTCAAAATAAAAATAAAACTGTATTTTCAATATTTGAGGGAAGGAAATGATGGATGGAGGCTTTTCCTGGCAAATACCATGAGACCTCAAAGGGGGATTTTGTTCATTCATTCAACCAATATATACTGGATGCCGCCTATGGACCAGGTCCAAGCGAGGGGCACGGGGGTTCTGAAAGGAGCGCTGAGATTTGCTCCCTGAACAATCCGTAGCTCCAGCCAGAGCCCCTGCATAGTAGGTGCTCAACACCGGGTCATTGGCTGCACGAGGAAGAGGTGAGAGGGGAGAAAAGAAGGTGCTGTTATGCCCAAGAATGGGTCCCTCAGAGGGACAGCACTTTAGAGGGACTTGATACATGATTGCTGACCCAATGAGAAAAGACAAGAAATTGATGCTGACTACAGCCAAAGGGAGTTATATTAGACCCGGCATAGAACTTCCTGGCTCTCAGCATAATTAAACACTAGAAAAACAACAGGGAACACTGGGAAACGTCCACCCCAGCCTCGTTTTAAAAATAGGGCCCATCTGTCCTGAAGGGCTTAAAGTGGCACTGGCCCTGGGGCAGGGGCTTGACCAGGGTGACCCCTGGAGGCCCCTCCCAGCTCTAGGATTCCATGATTCTATGACATGGCCAGCAGTCTGGAGTAGCGGCATGAGGGTATCCCTGGTGGAGACCAAGAGGAGGGCTAAGTCACCTACCTCCCAAAGACAGAGTGAGAGTGGGAGAGGGCCCTTGTGGCAGATGGGGCCCTGAGAGGGTCAGCCCTCAGTCACCGCCTGTATTTCTGGAGGAGGAGATGGGGTGGGGTTGGACCAGACAGGGAAGAGACAAGGGTCTGGACATTCCACGGGATTCAGACCCAAAGGACAACGGCAGCTGAGGGGCTGTGGGTTAGGAGAGGGGCAGGCAGCTGTTTTCTGGGAGGCACACGCTCGAATTCTGCTCTATTCTCACTAGGCAGAGGTGGAAAATGAGTATCAAGCTGGCAGTAGTGGGGGAGAGAAATCAGAGCCTTCTTTCTGGTGTGGGGGGAGTATTGGGGAATTGAGGGACAATGGAATGGGGGGGACTACACTGTGCTTGGCTGGGCCCAGGCAGTCCAGGGACAGGAGGTGGGGTTAAAGGGACTGGGCATCTCTTTGGCCTGATCAGGCCTTAGTCCCTGTGAAGTACTCACTTTTGGACCAGGAGATGTAGGAATCCCAATGCCCCTTCCTCTTGTGGGGTGGATGAGGAGACCCCCTACTGTGAGAGATGCTCAAGACCAAATATCCCAGAAAGTTCTGATCTCACAAGCCCAGCCCCATTGGTACACTTGTCGTACCACCTGCTCCCCCTCATGTGGGGTTCCTAAAGTCAGGATCAACTTAGTTACAGGGTTAGCAACACCCCTCTCCATCTGGTTCTCCCCATCAGTGCCTGCATCCAGGCAGGCGGAGCAGATGTGCTGAGAATTCTTGCTTAGCGACTGTGAGGGGGGCCAAAGTCACCCCGACAACATAGCATTGTCTTTTGGGTGTCGTCAGACACACCCAAGATAGTACCTCGGCTCCACCACTTACAAACTGTTGATCTGAGGCAAGTTACATCATCTCTCTGAGCCTGTTTCCCCATCTGTCAACTAGGAATAGGATAACAACTACCTCCTTGATTTGGAGTGAGAATTACATTTAAGAAAACCAAAGGGCCAGGCATAGAGAGAGTGCATATAGCATAGTATCAGGTCGCTTCTAAGACACATTTTTTTAGTATCAGGGTGCATTGTGTGATTGATGATTGGCTATTTGATATTACCTCCAAAGAAGGTCTGTCTCGGTGCCTGGAATTACACCATTAGAGATTCAGTCCTTGCGTTTGTGGTCTTTTGGAGTCCCTGCTTAAAAGGCGAATGGGAATTTCAGAATGTGAACTAGAGCTAAGGGAAAAAGGAGACTGCCGCGCTTTTTCTAGGTGGTCCTCTGGCCTCAGTTGTCCTCAGGGTATTGCCTTCCTCCCCATCTCTTGCCCTTTGTGCTTTCTGAAGAATAGGGTGTCACTTTTCCAGTTTGAAGATCCCTGGGCCTAGAAGGAGGATAGGGAGAGGGAGAAGGGCGGTGTTGGCCCTCTGGAGGCAGAGGGAACACTTGGAGAGAAAACCTGGAGGGAGGTGTCAGGGAGCCAAGGAGAGCTGACCCAACTCTGTCCTCGCTGACCCAGGCAACCAGCCTCCAGGTGAGCTCACGACAGTTCAGTGCCACGAAGCTTAATCCACTCAGCCGGGATCATGTCTGGACGCCAGGTGAGCAGTTCCAACACTTACAGCTGCTTGAACCATCCCAACAACGTGTCCTTTCCTGCCCGGAATCCAGGCTGGTCCCACTGCCCCAGTGTGACCGGGGCTAATGGCCTCAAGCGCCCTCGCACCCCGAATGGCTCTGAAGCCAGCAGCTGCAGCAACCCCTCGGAGCAATCTGACAGCCCCGGCTTCCCCAGACTTCCAGTGAGGAGAATCTGCATGGGCCGGCCCTACAACTCCAAGTGTGTAGAGACGAGCCACCTGGTGAACTGCCGCAAGGTGGCCAGAAAGCCCGCTTGCCGTGGCAGTCCCTACTGTCTGCCCTGTACAGATCATCCCGCGGGCCCCTCTGGCCCCACCTTCCTGGACCATCTCATCAAAGGCATCAACTACCTCGACAGATCCACCAATGCCTTCTGCACTAACTGCCCCAAGTCATCACTGAGCCTGCCGAGGCTTGCAGCCAACTACCTGCAACACGCCGCCAACTCCATCCACCTGGACCCCCCAGACCACTCCTTCCCCCACAGTTACTCCCACTCCAGCGCCAGTGTGGCCACCTCTGACAAGGCCTGCCCCAGCACCCGCCTGGTGCCGTCTGCCAGGGATGTCCATGCTTTGCAGTGTGTGGATGACTCTGCCAACTCTGCGAGTTGCACACGCCGGCTTCCTAGCCGGAAACTCACGCCCATGCTGCCGCAGAGGCCCGGGATAAAGTTGCCGGAGCTCCCTTTGTTGGGCAATGGGATCTTTTCCTTAGGTCATCTGCCCAAGTTCTGGGAAGCAATCCGCTCGGGCTGGAGTGCCCCTGAGCCCATCTCTAAACCCTGTAGCTGGTGGTGACATCGACACCAACTGTGAAAGGGGCACATGTCCATCAGGCTACAGTTGTGGAAAATAAATTGTCTGTGGCAAGATGCTCCTTCCAAGGCTCCATTGAGGGGAAACGGCCATTTAGATTGGGGATCATAAATCTGAGGACCTATGGGGCTGGGCAGTAAAAGTTAATGGGTGAATTGGGCTGAGAGGTAGTAGGAGTGGTGGATACTGTGGCTGAGTGGAGAGGGAATACCTGGTCTAAACCCAGCTTTCAAATGGATTGTTGCCTTTTCAAGAGAAGCCAGGAATCTGATTTTTATATGTTAATAAATTAAAAAATGTCATGGTGCTCTGTGGGCTGAACAAAAATATTTGCAGGCCAAATGTGAAACCCCCAGGTCTCAGTTTGGAATCTCTGATTTATATCTTGAATGGATCACTGGGAAGGTTCCTAGCCCCCTTAGCCTCGGTTTCCCCATGTGAAGAAATAGATTGGGGGCCCACCCAATGGCGTAGCGGTTAAGTGCACGCGCTCCGCTGCTGGCGGCCCAGGTTTGGATCCCGGGCACGCACCGACGCACCACTTATCAGCCCATGCTGTGGCGGCGTCCCATATAAAGTGGAGAAAGATGGGCACAGATGTTAGCCCAGGGCCAGTCTTCCTCAGCAAAAAGAGGAAGATTGGCATGCATCAGCTCAGGGCTGATCTTCCTCACAAAAAGAAAAAAAAATAAAACAAAGAAGCGTGAGGATGGTTAAAAAAAAAAAAAGAAATAGACTGGCTGTTCATTCCCAATCTCTATCTGTACTCTTTTTTTTTCAGGATTGTTGTTGATTTTAGCACAGCTGCATGTGATCAGAAAGGTAGAAGTAATAATGATGATGATGATGATGATAGCAAACCCTCGTAGAGCAGGTACTGTGTGGCCAGCACTGGGCTAAGTGCTTTATATCTATTAATTCTTTTAAAGATGTGGTTTTAATGACCAGGACCTAGGGTGGATGTAGAGAAACTTTATGATGGCTAGAGGGAGACATGTCAGAACAGGCAACCAGGGATAGCTGCAGGTGGAGGGACGGCCCTTCCTGGGAAATCTCTAAAGAGGGTGGTTCTGTCCAGGCCAAGTGAGGGCTGGAAGGCTCAGAATGAGGTGGTCTCGAATTTCTTGCTGAGAATGTCCGGGAAAACGTTCCCTGGGCCACCGAGGGATCCCAAACTTGAGAGACTCAACTGATTTGGGTGCTGAGAAATCAGAACCCATGGGGCCCCCAGCTATATCCACCGTCCTGCTGCCTGAGGGACTCTGGAGACTAGGATTCCAGACTAGTCCTGCCACTAGCCTGCCCTGAGACCTTGGGGACATCACCTCCCCTCTCCAGGGCTCTGTTTTCCCTTCTGAACATGAGTGGGGTAGCTTTGATGATCTCGAAGAGCCCCCAGACTCTGATATTTCTGAGTCTCTCCTCCTAGTCCCAAGCCAGGCCTGGTGCTTCCCCAGCTGAGAACTGAGAGTGTGCCCCCTACCAAGAACTCAGGCCTCCTGAGTCCTGAGCCATCTTCTCAGGCTGCCCAACAGCCATGTCAGGCTTCAGGGCTTATTTCTTCGTGGCTCCGAACTTTGGTCCCAGTCCCTTCTTGCTGCAGCTCTCCTATCTCCTTGGGAATATGAGGGCCAATAGAAGCTCAGAGTGTGGAATGGGGCTGACCTTGAAATAATGCAGAACCTGGAGGTCTACAAGGTTCCATGGATCTTGGAGGAGGTGGCCTTCAGTGGCCTAGCCCTATGGCCAAGCAGAGAAGGTGGCAAGCCTGAAGATCCCTACCATGACATTGCCACGGTGGTCCTGGGGTAGGAGGAAGGACAGGGGCACTGAACCGCTAGCCCATTGAATTCACCCCCACTTCTATTCCATCTCTGGAGGACAAGGGAGATCCCCCTGGGTCCAAAGCTCAGCAGCACACTCCTTTCTGTCTTTTGCATCCCTTCCCTCCCCAGGGAGAAGACTTTGTTTGGCCTTTGTCTGATGGGTCCTCAGACCCCCAGTGACCCATTCCCCTGGTAAACATTCAAAGGAATATAGCTTGTTAGAATCCATTTTCACCCAGCTCAAAAGATAATTCAAGAGTGTCCTGACTCCTGAACTCTCTCTCTGGCCACTCAAAGCCATCCTATTCCTGCTCTGGGTCCATATTTGCATAGGAATCATCCCTGACTGTCCTGGAGATGCCAACCTCCAAAACGGTCCGATTTCCCCTCATCAGAGTGTGAGACCCCTGCCTAGGACACTGCTCTTAAGGCCTCTGGTATCTAGCCCAGTTCTGGCTCACAGTAGGGGCTCAATTATTATATTGATGTTGATTCCAGGGCCTTGTGCCCAATAATTTCTCAGTAACGGTAACCACTATTAACTTAAGAATAATTACAGTGTCTTCCATGCAATAGATGTTCAATAATTATTAATATTAATGACAGCCAATATTTGTTAAGCTCTTAACTATAAGCCAGGCATGGTGTTAAGTGCTTCATATGTATTAACTCATGTAATCCTTGCATCTGACCTTTAAGGTACTATTGTTCCCATTGTACAGATGAGGAAACTGCAGCACAGAGACATCAGGTATAAATAATTATGATCAAGATGGTTACAGTGCATAGTATACAGCAGCTCTTCAAAAAATGGTTGGCATTGTCATTATAGAGTACTATATGCAGAGTAGGTGCTCAATAATAATAATTATCTTCATGATTACAATATCTTACAAGTAGTAGACGCTCCACAAATGCTCACAGTGGGTGCTCAATGAATGGTAGATGTCATTACAGAACCCAGTACACACTAGGTGCTCAAATGAAGTTTGACTGTTGGTTAGGGGTTGGATTGTACCCTAAAGGGACAGGATCTCTGTGCTTGGCCCAAGTGCTACTCAGGGTAGATACTTACCACTCATGAATCCCTCCCACCAGTCGCTCAGCCCAAGTCCTCTTAGTTAGAGGATGCCCTCTGCTCCGTGCGGCCATGCAGAGGCCACAGGAAGTCCTCCATGTCCACTGTTCAAGCTGTGCATGTGCAGGGTCCGTGTAAACAGGAAGCAGCATGCTGGCTGCAGAACAATACCACGGCCTGCCGTGCTGTCCATCTTGTGTGCAGAAGTGGCCTAGGCATCCCTGCAGCCGGGGGGCAACCGGGGAAAGTCCTTCACGCCTGCAGAAGTACGTCATCATTTATTGAGCCCCCACACGGTGTGCCAGGCTTGCTGCCAAGGCCTGAAACGCAGCTCTCAGGCCTCTGCTCCCTGCCAGGCTAAGTTTTAGTACCATATTTTGCAGAGGGGGAAACTGAGGCTCAGAGAGTTGGTAAGTAGCAGAGCTGAGATCCCAGCCCAGGGCTCTGACCTTCAGCCAATGCCCTTTTCTTCCAAAGTGCAGCTTCTTTCTTAGTATTTATCACATGGATTCCAAGAGAAAGAGGGGTAAACCTTGGCCGCCAAAATATGCAGTAAATTAGACAAAACAAAGATGATGTTTAATTCCAGAGGTTTGGGCTGCCTTTTAACACCAGTGTTCTGAACAGGGCAGTGTTAACCTGGAATATGCTCTTTCCAGAAATAGCAAACAAAGGGAGAAATTTCCTCAAAGGTCACCTGGGGTCTCAATTGCCCACCCCACTGGTCCCTGCCTCATTTAGGAACATTGGGTATAGGTACATGATATTAGAATGATTTTTGTATATTTAAAAAAATCTGATATGGCCCTTTTCAAACAGACAATCTGATATCACTATTCTATGATTCTAGAAAATAAATGCAGCTTTCTGTATGACCAAGGTAGGTGTTCGTGAGACACACTCATCCTATTCCCCACCCTCCCTCCACCCCTCACCTTTCTTTATCTCTGAACCTAACCCTCTAAGCCTTAGCCCACCCCACCCCTCGCTCTATCCCAAAGGCCCACTTTATCTCTTACTGTCTTTTCTGTCATATGGCTGGTCCTGCTTGCTCTACACAGGAAGCATAATACTAGCAGTGGGGCACACTCCCCACAATGGCATCCACAATGCCCTCTTTTAAGTTGAAATCTCAGGGAGGACAAAGAGCTCAGACATGCTGTGCCCGAGTTGGTACCACCATTTTTGGCAGACTCTTTTAACAGCCTCCTGGGCCCCTCCCAACAGGGCAGGAATTTCTCGTGAACAATTGAACAAAGCCGGGAACTCGGAGGGAGAAGGCACAGGACATTCCAAAAGGATTTCTCTCAAGCTCCAAAAGACAACATGTGGGAATACTGCAGAAGGCTCAGAGCCTAGCAAAGAAAAGCATGAAAGGACGGAAAATCTGCCCAGGAGGAAGGGCAGTGCGGGCTGGAGGAAGGAACAAGGGGCTGGGGGTCAGGCGGCCCCAGGAGGAAGTTCTACCTCTGCCACTCAGGACCCTGCAGAGCCCACTCCACCTCTCTGGCCTCAGATGTGTGATCCTTAAAAACTGAGGGAACCACAAAAATAAACACACGAATGCACACTATCCATTCATAGCAAGGCTTTATTGACAACAAAGATCTGGAAATAGGCCAAATACACAACAGTAGGACAGAGTTAATGAACGATGGTGTGTTGCTGAGACACGATACGAAATAATTCTTAGAAATATTATGTGCAAAGTCAATATGAGTGCTCTCAAAGTAGCTGGCCCACAAATCGCTAGCGGTTACCATCTACAATAAAGAGCTTGCACCGGAATCTAAATCTATGTGCTGTTTCCAAAACAGATCAAGCATTGCAAGAGAAAAAAGTGTCTGCTGAGCTAAACAGAGCACTTAGTGACACAGTAGATTTATACTCTGAGCAAGCTTCTTATCTCGTCTCAGACTGGTAATAAATAGTTTGGGGATTCGAACTGGTCCACAGAGCCATTTTTAGGTGACCCTGGTCTTTACTGACACATGGAACTGTGTTTATGAAAAAAATGTTAAGCGAGAAAAGCAAGACATGAAATCATACGCATACACTGATCACACGAGGTAAAATGCACGTGGGTACAGTGACACAGGAAGGGAAATGAGCATTTATGGTGATCCAATTACAGGCCCCCCCACGGAAGTCTTCTATAGCTGAAGCAGGGGTGTGTGGGCAGGAATGTGAGGGGGTGTATGGAGACCAGAAGAATTCCAGCCTGGCTGGAGAAGAGTGGTGGGGGTGGGGGGCCACAAGTGACAAATTCAAATGATAGACACCATTTATGGTCAACTCAGGAGCCAGGCTCTGGGGCTGTATTTGCAAAGC